AGCTTCCGCGGGAGCCCTGGCCGGAGTCCAGGACACAGAGGGGGAAGCTCCGGTGACATTCTAGACATGGGCTTCGGGCAGCAAGCTTGGCTCCGAGCCGCTCAAGCCCGTGGCGGGTGGCACGCCTCCCACCCCGTCCAGCCAGGGTTGTGGGGACCCGTGTGTTCTCCTGGGGGCTGGGCGGGCATCCTTCCAGGCGCTTGGCTTGGGCGTCCTAGCGCTTCCCGGGCTCCGCCCCTGCTCTTTTAAGAATTTGTCGTGGTTTGTGATGGCTGTGTGAGGAGGTCCTGGGAGTCAGGGCCGGGGTGACCCAGCTGTTGTCATCCTAGAGCCACGACTCTGGGTCAAGGAGGAGGATTGTCCGGCTTGCTGTCAGGCCCGGAGACGGCTGTCAGGACTGGCTGTTGAGTGTAACGGAAACAAAGACGAAAATCCAAACGCAGCTGACCTCCGGCCCTCTCTTTTGTGTTCCTCCTGGGGGGTGTGCTGGCTTCAGTCCCTGATGTCTCATTAGAATTTCAAGGGCGCCTCCTTCACTACGGAGGTACCAGTCACTGGGGCTGGAGAGGTGCTTGACTCTACTTGCAAACCAAGGAATTTGGGGGTAATCTATGTTAGATATTGTGACCAACTTGAAAACTGTCATATGGAAAGTTCTCTTCCAGATAAGCTTACAGAGCCTCTAACAATTCTTGTGGATAAATAGACGTCTTCTCTTAGCCTTGTGGGCTGTCTTGTCCTCCAAGCACCTGCAGTGACTGGTACATGCTGACCTTCAGTCAGTGGCACTCATCGGGTGACCAGGAAGATAAAGATCTTTGCAGTGAGGACCCATTTGCTGACTGAGGTCCAAAGCTGCTGCAGCCACCTTAGTCCACTGTTCAAGTCAAAGTCACATGATCCCCAAATAGAATAAATACTGTCCCAGGACAACCTTCTACTGGGGGTGGGAGGGAGAGATTGGAAACATAGAGGGCTTCTTCCCTGTGAATAAACAACTACTTACAGGTAGCAGTGCCTGGATACATATCCCAGAAGTGGCTCCCACTCTCCCTGAGACTCTGAGGTTTGAAGAGCTCCCTGCGGATCACTCAGGTGCCTTGTTTTTTCCAACTCTGGGGCTTGGGAGCAGAGAGCTGTCATCTGGCGTTCCCAAACAAGTTCAGCCAGGGAGCAGGGGGTACGGTTGGGGGGTTTTCCCAGAGGCTGGGCTCTCCTTGCATTAAAAGCTCTCAGAGCGGTGCCCCTGGACTTACGGAGGACGTGTGGCAGGGACAGGGGCAGGGGCTGTGAGATCCTATTCTGACCCTCAAACCTCACTGGGGTTGGGTTCCATCTGGGTCAATCTGTGGCTCCTGAGAGAATTTATTGCTAGCCTGACCCCTGGCAGGAAGCTGCCCCTAGCTGCCACCCGTTCCTTTTTCTTTACCTCGGTCCACAAAGGGTTACCCCGTGAGCCTTTGTCTCCAGGTGGGGCAAGGTTTCTCTCTAAATGGAGTCGCCCACTTTGGGTGGAGAGAGGGTGAACAGAAAGGGGGCCAGCCAGGTCCTTATCACATCTGAGACAAGACCAGCATTATGTGCCTGTCTTAAGTTTGTGGCTGAAAACATCTGCCCACCCACCTTGAAGTCAACCGAAGTCAAACTACGGTTTGATGACCATCAATCTGTGACATCACAGTTCTTACAACATCCCTTGTCAACCCAGATGTCAGGCTCAAGCCCAGCACCTGTACTCTCTGACCAACAGCTGGCCCTCGAGCTTGGTCTAGAACTGCCCAGTGGCTTACGTCAAGTGCTCTGCCTCAAACTGAAGATTCTCTGGCAGCGCCTGCATCTGTATGTCCCACCTTGTCATCCCCTTAGGGGAAACTCCGATCTTATGGGATCTACAGTGCCTTCCAGGGCCACTGCAGCTGACCTCTTGTGTCTGGGGAGTCAGGAGGGTAGGTAGGGCCCAGTGGGATGGGGCCATCTTAACAGACAGCGTTCTCCAGAGATCACAGGACTGCCTCCTGGATGGGGAGCAGGATAGCCCCCAATCCTGTGCTCTAATTTAGGCTCAGCTAAATTGGTCTTCCCTTGGTCAGGAGCCGTTTCTCACATCCTTGCTTCTCTCCCCGTTTGTCAGCTGGTTTGGTTTGATTTGGTTTATATACGTGAGTGCATGCCTGCTCCTTGTGTCTGACTCTTTGCAACCCCATGGACTGCAGCCTGCAAGGCTCCTCTGTCCATGGGATTTTCCAGGCAAGAATACTGGAGTGGGTTGTCCTTTCCTCCTCCAAGGGATCTTCCTAACCCAGTGATCTAATCTGAGTCTCCTCCATTGGCAAGCGGATTCTTTACCACTGAGCCACCTGGGAAGCCCCTGGTTTACACATGCTTGCTAAGTCACTTCAGTTGTGTCCGACTCTCTGCAACCCTATGGACTATTGCCCGTCAAACTCCTCTGTCTATGGGATTTTCCAGGCAAGAACACTGGGGCGGGTTGCCATTTCCTGCCCCCAGGGGATCTTCCCATCGAACCTGTGTCTCCTGCATTGGCAGGTGGATTCTTTACCACTGGCTACCTGGGAAACCCCTGGTTGACATATATACTCATGAGCAAAATGAATACAGTGTAAAAGGGCCCAACCCTCCACAGCAACTCTTTACCTAGACCAGGAAGGCTCAGTATGTGGGATCAGGGCTACTCAAGGTCCTTATTCAGTGGTCAAACCAAGTCCCAAGTGTGGGGGTAGTGGCTCCAGAGTAATCCATGCCAGAGTACCTTTTTATGGCTGCCTCGGTGGATCAGAAACAAAGCGCTAGAGCTGGGTGTATAATTTATAAAATATCCTTTATTTATTCTGTGGAACACAGTCAAGTGGGAGCTTTGAAAAAAAAAAAAAACAAACTTAAAGATAATAGTGTTGTGACCTGGTTTTGAGCCCTATTGATCAGGACAGTGGCCAACATCTCCTGCTGTGGCTTTGACAAATTCTCTCCTGCACAAGCAGAGAGGTCTGGTGGGAAACGGGGAAGTGTTGGCACAGTCAGCTGTCCAGTTGCTTATAATCAAGAATAATTTATGAAGAGCAGAAGTAACATTTATACTGCTGGCCTGTAATCAAGAGACTACTTACAATATAGTGTATTCATTCCAGGAAGTATACAAATGTTTTTACTTATTGTTCATGGGGACCATCTTAGAATTTTAGCATGACTTTGAGAACACAGTATTTCTCTACAAATTTAGAAATTCCCTAGATTATATAAAATCAAACTTCCTGGTTTGACTTAATTAGTAAGGAAATAATTAAGAGTAATATCCAGTAAGGTAGTTACTTTTTTATGTGTTTTTTTTTTTTCTTTTAGCACAATGGTTTAATCAAAGATTGTTTGCTCGAAAATGTTAGGGGATCTCCATCAACGGGCAACTATGCTGGCTATCATACCAGAAAAATCCATAAACGCACGCGCCACTGAGCTGTTTTCACCAGACTTCCTTTTTAATAAACACAACACTTTCTCCTCCTCTCAGATGTGAACCTCAGAAGCCAAAATGCCCATGTGCCAACTGTAGGCATGTTGCTGAGCAAAGGCTGGCAAGTCTGTCCAGCAAATTCACTGTATGGGGGGATGGCAGCAGCTTTGTGGCCTCGGAGCAGCGGCTGTGCATGCCCTCCAGGCAGGGCGAGGTTGGTGGCCCCTACCAGCAGGGGAAAAGGCCCTCCATGCTCAGAACAGCAGGACTTGGAGGGAAAATACAAACAGGCTTGTTAAAAGTGGACGTCTTGTGAAGACGTTCCAACTCCTCCCCGCCCCTCCCCCGCAACCCCGATCTAGGGGGACCTGCAGTCCCCCCTGCTGTCGCCAGCTGCATGTCCCCAGGCTGACCTGGGCCAGGGACTGCCACCTTCTCCTACCGCTCTGTGGTGCTCTAAAGAGGGCGTCAACCCTCAACCAAAAAAACCAGAGGGAAAAATCACAAACACTGAAAACCGGGCTCAAAAACTCCCCCGGACGCCTCTGGTCTGCCTTCCCCCAGCTTGTACCTGGTTAGGGGCTGTGAATCAGAATTCAGAAACTGTGCTGCCCAGAGGGGACAGGTACAGCCGCGAGGAAACACCCCAAAGCAATCAATCACGCCAGCTCGGGACCCTTGTCCCTGCCCCTCCCCCAACTACCGCCGCCGGTTTTTCCTCCCTGGAACCCAAGGAATCTCATCCCCAAACCTCCCTGCTGGGGACGGAATGCTGGAATCTGGCTGCCCTCTTCGGCACAGGACGGAGCCTCAGTCTTTCGCTTTATAGCATCATTTATGGCATGAACTAGAAACATAATGTGTTTACACAAACACACGACAATTGTACATTAGCATCTTTACAATATTAAAGGAGTCATATACAAGTCTACGGGCATCGTACAAGGGGCGGGGCCGGCCGGGACGCCCCACCCGCCCAGCAGTTCTCTGCACTCTCCACCCCCTGGGGAAGAGTCATCTTCGGGAGGGGAGGGGAGGGGAAGTGTGACAAGACAGGGGGTATCCATCTTTGGGCCTGTCGTCTGGGAGGCAGCAGGTCTGCGAGGACTCTAGCGGGCAGTCCTCATTGGAATCTGGGGCCAAGAACCCAACGTCTGACTGTGTCTGGGCCTTACTGGCAGACTAGTGTAACCACAGTTTAATTAAAAATTCAGTATGCAGGTGAGTGTGGGAAAATCATAGTGGGGGACGGCTTCCTGAGCTGGGGACCCAGAGGATGCTGCTGACAGATGGGCTGCTTCACCGTGGGGCCCATTCCTGAGGTAAGGATGCAGTGTGGCCCCGGTGCTGATCCCGACGGGGAGTGACTTCTCTCGGAGCCCGTGTAGGCGCACACAGATGGAAACCAAAGCCCCCGGGCATGAGTAGGTCAAGTGACACTCAAGTGTGGCCTGTGCCCCAAGTGGCAGCAAAGACAGGGTCTCGAAAGGTCCCAGAGTGGTCCCTCCCCCATGCCCGTACCACCCTCCTCCCAAGCCCCCCACGCGGACGTGCTGCCGCGTCCCACTGATCTGAGCACCAGATGAAGAAGCAAGGGTCCTTGTAGGCCTCTCTGACTTGTGCACTGACAGTTACTTCCGTCTTAAATACTGTAGAAAAATAAGCCATCTCTGACACAAGGAGACCCACTGGAGTCTGCCGCGTGGAGAAAGACCGCTCCTCTGGAGTGGACCGGGGCGGCCTCTGCTGACCCCGCCTCGGCACGTGCAGAGCCTCCAGGGTGCTGTACCAGGCTGGGAGCCGAGGGGCGCAGACGACTGGCGGCGGAGTTCCCACCTCGGCATCTTTGGGTCACATCCACGGTCCTCTGGTGGGCATGCCTCCAGCATCCCACGTTCTGTTGTCATGACGCCCCGGGCCTTGGGGCTCCCCAGGCGGGCTCTGGACCCTCCGGCCCCACCCTCAGTCTCATGCCCACTGCTAAGCAGGCTTAGGCAGAACTCCCCAGTGCTGTTCCCAGGTCCCTGGGGGTGTCCCTAGGGCCAAGGGGCCTCAGGTAGACACTGAGGCAGGGCCTAGTCCAGGGGCTCCTGCTTTATTCGGACAGCAGTGGGGGTGGGCTGTGGTCGCCGCTCCTCACGGCAAAGCACATACTCGCTGAACTGGGAGGAGTCCACGCCCCCCCCGCAGGACGCAGCCACGCTGAAACCCCTCTGGAAGAGCCTCTCCAGGACCTGCCGGGGAAGAAACAGGGGTCAGCAAAGCCCAGTCGCAAGAGTCTGCTGGGCAGGTGGGCACTTGTCAGGGTGAGTTACCTTCTCCTGTTAAGATCTCGCTGACAGGGGTCTGGGCACAACCACCAGCGGGGCAGCCACAGAAGGGCCAGGGCCCCTTAAGAGACAAAACCTGGATGGGTGCCATCCTGCTACCCTTGGGGGTCCACAACCTTGACTGGGCCCCTCTCTCCCAGACACACGGTCCTGGGTCCCCCTCCCTCACTGAGGCCCCAGCAACAGAGACCCCGCCCCTGGCCTCGGGGCAGCCACCTGCTTCCCTGAGCTGGGAATCCCAGATGGTTTGAGGCCTGGGGCCTGATCAGCTCAAGGGAGCTCACGATGGAGAGGAGTTCTCTCCCATCTCTGCAGGTCTCCGTGTCCACGTGGGCCTATGCCTCTGTGAGAGGGAGGCCCAGTCACTGTGTCTGACACCTGTGTCCTGCAGCTAACTAGCAAGTTCTGAAGGACAGCCTACAGAGTTTTCCCTATCAAGTGCGCTCTGCCCCAACCAAGCCTGAAGCAGGAGTATGCTCTTGGGTCTGGAAGAACGGGTGGAAAATAGGCCCCAACTCCATCTGGGGCTTCCAGTCTCTTAGACCCATGTGGGGAAAACCAGTCTAGACACGCTCTGGGAAGCTGTGCCATGGGTGCTGGTGGCCCTAGGTCAGCCTGATGAGGAAGGGGGCTGGGGCTCCAAACCGCCCCCACTCTCAGCCTCTGACCTGCTGCTCCTACTGCCTGGGTTTAATTTGAATCCAAAGTCAGACTCTGGGTGTCAAATGAAGCACACTTTGTTGAAAATACTCTAGGCCATTTTTATAGAACATCCTTTTGGAAAAAAAAAAAAGCACAGATCAATTTTTTTAAGTCCATCCCCCAGGCGCCATCATTTAATTATGAGCGGGACATAAATTATGCATCGACACATTGTTGCCTTTTCTGTAAGATGGCACGGGAGGGCCGCGCCATCCCAGGGACCCGGCCTTCCCCCCCCCACCCCAATCTCCCTCTGCCGCCCGCCCCAGGGCTTCGGGGAGGCAGGCGGGGAAGAGACAGGGGCGGGCCGGCCCTCACCTGCACCGAGTTGAGCCGGCAGTAGCCGTTGAGCGGGAAGCGGATAACGTGCGTGGGGTCCTGGTTCCAACCAGCGTTGACTGAGTTGCACATGACGTCCCCGGTCTCGGGGAAGACCTCCTCGATGAGGGCCTTCTCGCCGCTGAGCGCGATCCGCTCGCCCAGGTCCGGCGTGACGCGCACCACCAGGCAGTCGCAGGCCCGGCTGCGGCGCCGCTGCTCCTGCTCCTGCTGCCAGCGCTCCAGCTCGCGCACCATGGGCTGCAGCTGGTAGTAGCGCGCCTCCTCGTACAGCAGGCTGAAGTCCTGCAGGCATGCGCATACGGTGGGGTGGGTGGGGGTCCGCCCTTCTTGCTCCAGAGCTCCGCGCCCCCGCCCGGGGGGATTGTGCCCCCACCCCCACTCCCAGCACAATGTGGTCTGGGATGGCTGTCCCCATTGTACAGATGGGGAAAGTGAGGCTTCAGTGACAGGGTTCCCCCCAAAACGTCTGGCCTCTGTCCAAGGGCAGTGGCTGGTATACACCTGACCCAGATCCCAGTAAGCCCTTCCATCCAGCCCCAAGCCACAAGAGCTGCTTCATGGGAAGCAGAGAGAAGTTTCTAGAAAAACCTAGAGGCTACACTAGAGGAGCCTGAGGCTGTGCGGATGGTTGGGGATCTGCTGCCTTCTCTGAGAGGACAGGCTGGGGTGGGCAAAGGGCAGCCCCGTCCTCCCTCCCTGGAGATGCTCACTCTCCTGCAGGGAGGTGACATGGACCTGCCTGGGTTGGATTTTCAGCAGCAGCATCATCTACAAGACCTTTTCTGAGCCTCAGTTTCTTCGTCTATAAAATGGATGTTATTATGCAGCTCAAAGAGTGGGTGAAGCTTAAAGGACATCAAGGTTGGTCCCTGCCTTCGCCAGCAGTGTGAGGAGGTGTCTGGGGGGTGCCCACCTCTCACGAGCAGCTCAACCCCAGGCTGGCAGGCTCACACCAACCTCCCCTCAAGGCCCTGACATTGGTCCCCTGCCCCCATCAAACACATGTCCACCCACACCCACTCCAGCCCTGAGTAGCTGAAGACCCATGACCAGACCACTCAGCTCAAGTCCCGCTGGTGAGCCTGAGGACTCCTGGGGGCAGACAAGGAAGCCCAATCCCAAAAGCTGAGCGCACACCGCTGGCCCTAAGTCCTTCCGCCTGCTGATTGACCCTAGCCTTCGGAGTCACCCCAGGCCTTCCATCAGTCAAGAACCTATCCTGTTGAGAACCACAAGAGTTCATCACAGCTTCATGCCGGGCCCCTGTTCTCATCCACTAGAGGTTTTAAATGATACCTGCAAACCAGCAACCCCCACATCCTTCCTCAAATCCCAGAATACCTCCCCCAGACGCCCCACCAGTTCTTCTACACAGGTGTGGGGTGCTTCAGCCTGTTCTACCCTGGGCCTCCACACATCCACTCAGGACTCAAGCTGCAGGTCAGGGGAACCCTCAAGAGCCCCCTGACCCCCACCGCCCACACCGTGGCTTTTTCTTCTTTTTCCCAAACGTGAATCTAATCTACCACTTTGTTCCACCTTCGCTGCCTACACCTTCCTGCTCCTTCCACATCCTTCACACAATAGATCTGAGGGTCCTGCCCCTACACACCCTCCCTCTGCATTCAGGGTAAAAGGCAGAGAGTGCGAGGACTGGACACAATCTGCACCCTCTTCCTGCTCTTCCCCTCCCGGTTCATACAGCCCCAGACTGCCACTGTCTAGCTCCTTACCCTCGCCCCTCCTCACCCCCAAGGCCCTCACACCCTTCTGCCTCGGTTCCTCCATCATCACCCGGAGAAACACCCTTCCCTCCAAACCCACCCAGGCCAGATTCTCCGTGGTTCCCTCTCACAGTACTTCCTGCTTCCCTGCCCCTGTGGAATTTAAGTGGTTTTCTGTTCAACATCTATCATCCCATAAACTATAACCACTGTGAGGACAGGACCTATGTCTGCCTTGTCCCACTGCATTTTTAGCCTGAGTTCAGTTGCTGGCACCCAGAAACTGAATTAAATGAAGGATAAAACAGCCCTAGGACCATTGGGTCCTCTGGGTGCCGGAAGGAAGGAGGGACATTTGCTGGTTGGAGCTGGGGTAGCCCCAGCCTGGATTTTTCCTGCCTCTGGGATACCTGAGCCACTGAGGAGCCCAACCCTGGAGGCAGGACTCTCAGAACCAGGTCGGCTACTGCAGACAGGCTCATTCCAGGACGGGCAAGGTGGGGGGGACTTTTGTTTAAAGTTCTGCTTGGTTTGGATCGGACCATTGGGTCCTCTGGGTGCCGGAAGGAAGGAGGGACATTTGCTGGTTGGAGCTGGGGTAGCCCCAGCCTGGATTTTTCCTGCCTCTGGGATACCTGAGCCACTGAGGAGCCCAACCCTGGAGGCAGGACTCTCAGAACCAGGTCGGCTACTGCAGACAAGCTCATTCCAGGACGGGCGAGGTGGGGGGGACTTTTGTTTAAAGTTCTGCTTGGTTTGGATCAGGGTGTTCCCTCTGCCAAGTGCCAATAAGGACCAGCTTTGGGAACCTCTAACTCCTGTTAACTCCAGCACATGACGGTCCTTCAGCATACAACTGGGGTAAGCGCTTGCTGTCGCTGCTTAATTGTTGTTACACCCTGATAAATAAGCTAAAAATGTGAGAAAACAAAATTAGTTTAGAAAAACTGATTTAGCCCTCGGCTTCATCGTTTAAGTTTTTATGGTTGCCATGACAACCGCGGGTCCGCTTCTTAAGTCACAGCGTCCCCTGTGTAATGCCACCGCACAGGCTGTGGCGGGGAGCCGCCGGCTGCGGACTTACCTTGAAGTCATCAGGAAGCAGCAGTTTGGACGTCCGCAGGAAGCTCAGGACGTAGCGGAAAATCTCCCCATCCCGGTCGATGAAATAGTGTTGCTTCAAACTGTCCAGGACAATGGGCTCGGTGCCATTGAAGAGGCGGCTTATTCTGGGAGAGATGCAAAGTGGGATGCAGGATGGAAGGGCTGGTCTGCTGCCCTGCCCCCCGCCCCCCCTTAGAGGCCACCCTGCTGGATGGGTGAGCGTCACTACGTGAGTGATTCTGGGACCACACCAGGCCTGAAAAGGACGTGTGCACACACCAGCGGCAGCCAGGACACCAGTGTGGCAACCAGCGCACGCAAATGCCCCACCTACACTCACAAGCCATGGCCAGAGAGAGTCACACCCAGCTCCACACCCCTGCCCACTGACACAGGTGACAGGCCTGGAAAACTACAAGCAGACACAGACACTTCGTCGCATGCACACGAACCCTTGCCAGACAGACCCGCCCAGAAAACCCCCACCAACCATCAGATACCCCAGCCCGCAGTCACACGCCTGGTGAACACATGTAAACCAGCCAAGACACTCCTGGGTCACACGCCTCACCCAACCTGCATGAACAAGCATTGGACACAACACACCCAGCAACAGACACAGGGTCACACGGTCTCCTCCCTCAAAGCACACGGACCATAGGCAGAACCAGACACATCCTGGGGAGGGAGATATCGACAACACAGGTCCACCAGAGGGACAGCTACGGACACTCAACAAACTTACAAACGAACCACCCAAGGCTTCGGCTCAGGGAACCCTAGGGGATAACAGCGGCAGACCACACGGACAGCACATGTGGGTGCGGTCACAGGGCACAGACACCCACCGTCCAGTGTGGATGCACACAGAACACACACATGCACGGAAGTGTGCACACCTGCTACAGCCGTGTGCACACCAGTGAGGGGGGGACTGGGAGGGAGGCAGCTCCCAGCACCCCACCCTCTGAAGGGTGGTGGTTCTGATAGAAGCATAGGACCTGAAGGACACATGGGGAGCCCCATGCCTGGCTCCCTCCACTTCCGAGCCGAGGACCAGGCCTCCCCACTGCCCAGGGCGGCAGGCTCTGGTTTGGCTCACGTCCCCTGCAGACCCCAGGCCCCAGTGGGGAGGGTTAGGATCCCCTGAAGAGGGGTTAAGAGCTTGACTCGGGAATAGGAGGGAGGTCGGCAGGGTCTCCTCAGGGACACGACCTCGGCAGGCAGGCCGCACACACGTCCCCAGCTGGACTCAGCACAGCCTGGAAGAAGGGTGGCTGGATCCCAGCCCCAGGCCTTCCAGCTTAGTCTGTACAAGTCGAGGCTCAGCCCCCTCCCTCTCTACCTGCAGCAGCAAGGACCTCCAGCAAGGCTCCCGTCTCCCTCGGCAGCCCATCCCACCCTCCACTCCAAGTCACCGCTCCCAGGCTCTGTCCCACCGCCGCCACTGTGCGCCAGGGCAACGAGCTGGGTGGAAGCTGCGGGGTCACAGCACTCACAGCCTCTCTAGGGGCCTCCCACCACCACCGTCTGCTCTGCTGGCCTGGCACATCCATCGGCCAGGAGGGGGAGTGACTAACCCCTTTTCACTCTGGGGACATGGCCCAGTGGGGCCGTATGCAAGTCAAGGCTGCCTCATGGATGAGTGTGAGCGGGTCGGAACCCATGGGGAGGTGTGGAGCAGTCTGAGTCTGTGAAACCAGTGCTGTGGTCACCCAGATACAACTCATCTCAGACTTCCGAAAGCCATGGAGCCCTCTTGACCTGCCCAGGCCTGGTGACGACGACACTGGGGAACACTGCCCTGCCGGCAAGCTCTGCGGGCTCCCTGCCTATTCTAAGCATTAAACACCCCCAGACCTAACCTCAGCAGAGCATGGGCAGCCAGATATGGCCACCCAGCATGCCTGGAGACAGACGGGACGGAGTGAGGCTGTCAGGCGCCAGGGGCAGTCATCAGTAGACGGCAGAGGGCCCCCACGTGGCAGTGGCAGGAAGACGAGAGAGCCACGCCTGCAGGTCAGCCTCCCCATGGAACGTTCTCCAGCCTTCCTGGTTGAGCTCAAGCATTCTGTGCAGCAAGCAACATTTCCAGGCCCTCAGTATTGCAAACCCCTCAGACCATCCTGGTGATCTAGGGGACTCCCAGTCCACCACATTCCAGGGCTGCCTGGGTTCTAGGTCATCTTAAGGGTCTGAGGCTAGAAGGCTCTCAGTCTGTCTTATCTTGGGACTGGCTGGTTCCAGCTCTTTCCATGGTTCAGCGTCTCTTCCCAGCCTAAGGCCTCTCACACCCTCAGGGTCTGAAGCTATCAAAGAGGCGTGCAGCTTGAGGGAAGGTTAGGACAGTCACCTCAAAGGCACCCACTGACACTTGTGAGGTCTTAAAGAGTCTGTTCCTACCCCGGGCCACCCTCCTAGGGAGGCTATAAGTTTGGGATACTGACTTCAGAAGGTGTATAAGGAATAAGCTGGCCAGTTCTGACCCCAGCTGATAGGGGTCACCTTCTTATTCTTCTTTTGTTTTTTTTTACATTTTGGCTCTATTTCCTGGATGTTTTGGGGGTTTTATTACTTCCTAGGTTCCTGGATATCTTCATTGGTGGCCTCCCACTGCCAGGATGGATGCCAGCATGGGGCTGTGATGCAGGAGCTAAGTGATGTCCAGCAAGCATGGAGGCAGACTCAGGAGTCCACTCCCAGTCCCAAGCAGCTGGGCTGGGCGGGTTCTGGGCAAGGGCCATCCTGGGCTGACCAGCACCCATGGGGGCTCCCTGCTATGCAGCTGCCCTGACCAACCAAGAACGAGAACCCAGGCCTAGCTCTGTGGGCACAGGGTCCGAAGGGGTGAAGGCACAAGCCCCCTTATCTCACAGCATTGCCCAGGGTGAGACGTGATGTCCAGAACGAGCTCCCTCCCCTGGTGACCTTAACATAATCCTCTATTTCCAGGTGACTTATACCTCAGTGACCCTGGGTGAGCCATTGATCATTATTTCCAGAATTAGTGAAAAACTGTTTTGTTTTGTTTAAATTTTAATATTCACTCAAAGAAGGAAGAGAGAGATCTGAAGGGCTCCGGCCAGCACAGCTGCCCAATGCACATGTCAGGCCTGGCTTGACCCACTGTCCTGACTGTCCTACAAGTCATACCACCTCCATGGCCTCTAGGCCAGAGCTTCCGTCTCAGGAGCAGCTCTCCTGCGAGCCTGGCCAGGCAGAGCCATCCAGGCAGAGCAGCAGATTTATCCTGAGGTCCAGCCCCGGGGGAAGAATGCAGACCACCACCCCCTCTGGGCCCATCCTGATGGCCCGAGGGTCCCACAGGTCATGGGGCCACTGAGGCAGCCTGGCCAGGGGCCCTGCCCCAAAGCAGGATGCTGGGGGCAGGGGGTGGGGGGAGGAGGAGGGCTGGGAGGGGAGGACCACCCCCGCCTGCCAAGCTCCAGGCAGCAGCCAGGAGGCAGAATGAGGAGGCTGGTCCTGCCAGGCCGTGATTACTCCAGAAAGGCAAGTGTCTGATTTCAAGAAACACTCTTCAGAGAGGTGGTGGGCAAGGGTTTTATGCATGTCACTTGCAAATGTCGTCAGCTGATTAAGGGATGATCTATCTCAACGCGTGGATGCCGCAGAAGGCAAAATTGAAATGAAATAAGCAGAATCCATCTCCCATCCTAGACAGGGCCCTGCCGGTGAGCGCCAGGCCAACACAGCCGACGTGGCCTCCTGGCTGCTGCCCCCCATGGTCCCCAGGTTCACAAGTGCCCCAGGCCTAGCCTCTGTCTGTGGAGGGAGAGAGCTCCAACCACACCTGCACCCCACACCCCAAATTCTGAACCAGACGCTGCATCGGCCTCCAGCCGTCCCGCCTCCAGGGCGCCCCCCTGGCCTCCAGTGTGCTCTATGCAGCCACCTCCACACGCTGTGAATCCTTCCTCCATAAGCAACCACACCAGCGACAAGGCGGCTAGATCAGAAAGCTTCCCAGAGACATCCCTCGGCGTCTGGGGGATTAATTAACTCCTCTTTTTATTTTAAATGTCTAAAACAGAGGTGATGCCCACAGGCATGGCCCTCCTGCTGCCATCCCTTGGCAGTACCACCTTGCGGTACCCGGAGCAGGCGGTCCCGGGCTCAGCCAGCAGCACACAGCATCATCTCCCGGAGCTGCTCAGAGACCCATCCCACCTCTGGTCAGCCCTGCTGTTACATGCCAACGGGGAAACCTAGGAGAGAAATGCCCAACAGGCAAGAGCAGTGCCCGAGTCAGGAGTCAGGGGCACCTGACTGGGCAGAGGGTAAAGCTCCCTGGTCAGAGATTCATCTGCTGATGGCGGTATGTGGCTCATGTTTGTCCATAGCTGTGGATATCCCCCGACACCCTGGAATTCTTAGCCAGTCACTGCCACCCACCCCCTCCCAACTCCAAAGGAGCCTGCTGCTAGCCCTAAGGGTCCAGCAGTGGCCACTCAAACAAAGATGACAAATCGCAGCCGCCCCCCACCCCATCCTTGCACTTATGCACTATCCCAGTCATTAAGACTTGGAAAGAGGATGAACTCCTCCCCCAAATGACTCCAAGAAGTATGCAGCATGGCTCACAACCAGTCTCCTGCAAAGGCCAGGCGTGAGTCGCACACAAGAGGAACCTGAAGGAACATAAGGTTCTCCAGCCAGCTGCTGGCCAGCTTCGGGTGGGGCTGGCTCTGAAAAGTGGCCTCTGCCAGTGGGTCAGGAGCTCCACCAGTGCCACCAGCTCAGGGTCACAAGTCCCTGTGCTGAGCAGCCGTGGGCAGGCGGGTCTGAGGGCGGGGGGACCCTGGGGAGCCCTGCGTGTCGGCTGGCAGCAGGCTTCACATGCTGCCTATGGCCACCGCAAGCCCCGGTGCCGTGAGGGGCTCGGCTCTTACCTGGAGTCTGGGTACTTGGTGAGTGTGGCCAGGCTGCTGGTGTACATGTGGCCGCCCACGTCGATGTGCACAGGCGCATTGGACTTCGTGAGCTGGGCTGGCAGCGGGATCCCCTGGGCGGCCAGGGGAGACACAGGCGACCGGGTAAGAGACAACCGAGACATGCTTCCTCCCTCCTGGAGATGGAAAAAAGGCACACGACAAGGGTTTCTCCACGACAGAGCTAGGCACTCCCTTGATTGCCAATGTGATCACAGATCTAATCAGATCACTTCTGCTTGTGCCTGATCACATATTCGCCTGACAAATTATGGCCACCACTGTAATTAAGTGTATTTGCATCATTTTCTTCAAAGTACCAGAGGGGGAAAAAAAAGAAAGATGCTTATTAGCAATAAGAAATCAAGAAAAAAAAATTTTTTTCAAGGTGTCAGCCTCCAGGGGCATAAAACAAACTGCAAAATTCTAATTAAAGGTCGCAGGCTTATGTGTTAGATGTGAAATATCCCCTGACAAACGAATCACCAATTTGTGAATTGGGATTCAGGGGTTTTTGCAAGTTTGTCTCAGTAACGAGACACCTCTAAATTAGTGACTTCCTCAGCACCTAAGGCGTTGAGTTTTATACATGTAGTAAATTTCACATCAAATTAAGAGCATTTTTGTTTCGAGAAAATACATAATCGTACAGGCAGTCAACAGCCATCTCTTGAGCACCACGGCTGTGGCTGCGAGGAAGGGCAGCCAGTGAGCAGGTGCTCAGGAAGAGGGCATAAAGGGGGCGACCAGCCCCTGACCCAGCCCACCCTGCCAGCTCTCACCGCCGTGCCGGTGCTGCCGTGGGCGTGAAGCGAGGACCCGCTCGGCCGCTCCTTGCGGTGAGGCATCTAGGCTTCCATCGCTGCCCAGAACATCTGTGGGGAGCACCGACACGACCAAACACGACTTACTCCTCAGTGGTCCTGGGTGCCGCGTCTCCCAGTCAAAGATGCTTATGATCATCCTCTCTGAACATGCTTCCAAAGACCCCATGCCCTACCACACAGACGGCAACTAGCCTGTCCCCACACCCCAAGGCAAGCCTCTGGGCCATAGGAGATTACTTATACACACATGCACACACACACATTCACTCACACACGTGTTCTCAGGGCAGCTCCATGTCTGCTAATTCAGCTAATGACAGTACTGAAACATATGCTCACCATTATTGCCCCCAAAATGTTTCAGGACAAATCCGATTTGCTTGGTATTTTGGTTTCGAGCCACGTTACCAAGCGTGTCTCCTCTTGCTTCAGAGAGCACCCCTGGAACCACAGTTCAGAGAGGATCCCCCACCCTCCAGAGGCTGGGGAGCCCCCCCACCTCTTTAAATACAGTCTCTGCAGTGTTAAGATGCAGTCTGAGACTGGCTGGACCCAGAGAAGCCTCTTCCAGCAGAAGCCAGGGAAGAGCAAAAGTCAGAGAGGAAGCCACCGCTCCCCTGTGGCTCCTTAGAGAGGAAAACTTGTCTTTGTTTGCCCAGCCTGCACCTCTGCAGCTTCTCCCCAGGCCCCCAGAAAGGTCTTGTCTGTGCCTAATATATTCCAGATCCCCTCGGGATCAAGCCCCCAGGCATTACAGAGATGGCCAGAAGGAGACAGCAGCTCAGCTAATGAACCCTCCTGCCTCTCCCCATAGTCACTCAGCCTGTGCCCCGGCCACCTGAAATGAGATTGTCCCACAGTCTCCAGAAGCTCCCTGAAGACACTCTGCAGACCCTACGCAGGAGGGCTGCAGAAGAGAGGTTTTAAGCAGACCTTCCACTGACCTGGGCCTGGGGAAGATGGACACAGGGAATATCATCCCCTCCCTCCCCCACTGGCTTCCCCACACCTAAAGCTGTACTTGTCTCTTGCAGGTTTAACCCCATCCTCCCTCAAGGATTGACTTTGTGCCTTGAAATTCAACATCCAGTTTTCATACAAGGTCGAATGAGAATCAAAGCCTGCAAATTTCAGTCAGGTCACTCTCCTAGGATTTGTTCTGCCCTCCTGTCCTGGCAAGTTCTCTGACAGGAAACGGGGGTGGGGGTTGCCATTAGCAGACAGCGATGTTTAATTTACAGCCGTCCAGGGTCGGCTGCTTTTGGCATTCCTGAGTTCCCTCAAGTTTCAAAAAAGAAAACCAGGTCACTTATCTCAAGTTCTGAGAAACCAAAACACATCTCAGGAATGGGTTCTCCTGCCCTGGGAGGCTCTGCTGGGGGGAGGAGTCAGAAGGAAAGCCTCACGGAGGATAAACTGTGCTGGAAGGAATTCCAATGGAAATGCTATCAAAGCGGCCAGCACAACGTTTGCCCTACTACCAGGACACTGCTCGGAAGTGACATTTAACACCAAGTACCCATCAAAAAGCTGCTCCATCCTGTTCTCACCCGGCCTCTTCTCCATCGCAAGCACAACCTGATGTTCACAGCAAACCAGACACTCACCATTGGAAGCCCCAGGCTGTACGCCTTGACGCGAACCTCCACTGCTCCCTCCGACAAACACATCTGTGCTGGACAAGGACCCTTTCCCCGACACCACTGCTGAGGTCAGAAGCACAAAGTGGGTGCAGGAAGAGACACAAGTTCATTCCGCCAGCACCCGCATCAAACCCACGACCCAGCCCCAGCGCTCCACGGCCCTCCCGAGGTCAGTCAAGACCGCCTGTTGCAGGGGCCTCGGCGGTACCGGGCTCCACGGCCCGGCCGGTTTCCAAACTGGCGGGGTAGGGACCCGCTTCTCCGAGCTGAGGCGGGAGCCCCGGTCCCACGCCCGCCCGCTGCCAAGCCCCGCCCGCCAGAGCAGAGGGAAGCGAGCAGAATGCCACGCTCATTTACACACAAAATGATTTTGTGCCCCATTGTGCTCGCAGTTGTTCAGCTCTCTGGGGGTGATTAAACTGGCTGAGCTGCGGCAGCTTGAGACGATTTCACTAAATCGCTTCTTCGTGAAGTCGCTTCTTTGCTAAGCTGTTATTTTAACCATAAAAGGTAAACAGAAGGCGCCTGCAGAACTCCCTTCAGCTCTGCGCCCAGGGCGCCAGCCCCGGGGCCAGAGAGCCGGGGGCCTGCCGACTTGTCCAGGAGGTGGGCCAGAAGGGAGGCAGGCGGGCCACCTGGCGTGCGCCTGCCCCGCCGCGGAGCCCGCCGGCCGGTGTGAACTTCGGGGCGGCCGGAGCCGGCTGGGCCCAGGCCGGCGGCGCCGCGGGGCTGGGGTGGCCGCGGAACCCAAACCGCCTGGCAGGACCGGGAGGGTGTGCGGCAGGGGCGGGGCGGAAGACGAAGTTAAATCAAGAGGCAGACACTTAGAGACCACAGATGGGAAGCTCGCCTAATTAAGGACGTAAAAGCGCTTTTGTTCTCAAAGTTTATTGTTGCCGGGATTTAAAAAAAAATTAATTGAAACTAATGCTGTTATTCACTCGTGCAGTTGAATTCCTCCATGCACATTTGAGACACGGAATGAAAACTTGAAGCTTATCTTTTTGCAGTCGGGGGTGGGGGGCAACAGGAGGACGGAAACGCGCTCCAGCTACGAGGGAGGGGGGAGGCATTTGCGAGTGTGAGCGGTGCCCGCGTCCAGGTCAGGGGCTACCGCCTGGCAGTCGGAATCCCGACACGGCGATCGCGTCTACGCGCGGCCCGCCTGGGGGCTCCAGACCCCCGCGCGCTTGGAACGACCACCAGCGCGCCAGCCCCTCCCGCTCCGTTTCGGACTCGCGGGTGGGCGTCAGAGGACGCACGTCCGTCCCGTTGGAGACTTTTCCTCGCTCTGATATGGACACCAAGCCGGGCCCAGTCAGCCCGAAGCCCCGGCTGCGTGAGCCGGGATCTGACCCCGGAAACTCGCCAGCCCTGCAGGGCGGTCGGCCCTGCACCGAGGCCCGAGTGCCGGGACCTGAGGAAACCCCCACCCCGCACCACCCCACCCCGCGCAGCAGGAAGCTCGCTGACCGCCCGCGAGGGGAGGGTCCACCCGGGGCGAGGGCCGGCCCACGTGGGCAATCCCCCCCTCCCGCGCCAGGCCTTTGTGCTGGGTGCCCCCTCGCCGTCGGCCCCCGCCGCCCTGCACCCGGACAAAGCAGCCGTCCCCGCCCAGGTCCGAATCCCGGCCCGGCGACTTTCCGGGTATCGCAACCACTTCGGGGACAGGGGTGCGCGTCGCTGAGCGGCGGCCGCCCGCGCGGTGCTTACCTCGGAGCCGGAGCGGCGGATCGGGCTCGGGCGCAGCCCCCGCCCCCCGCAGCCGCCGGTCTTGGGAGCCGGGCTCAGCCTCGCAGCCTGTGCTCGCTGCGCGGGTCGCTCCGGTCTCGTCCTGGAGTTACTTTCTCTACCTCCTCCCCTTCTCGCGGCCGCCGCCGCCGCCTCCTCTTCGCGCCGCTCTCCGGCTGCCCTCCCGCCGCTCCCACCTCGTTTCCTCCCTCCTCTCTTCTCCAGCGGCCTTCTCCGATTGCTGGCGAGAAAACCAGCCCCCCACTTTAGCCCGTAGCCCGCGCCCCGTCTCGGCTGAGCCCGGACGCAAAGGGCAGCGTTCCGGCTCAAAATTAACCCAGCGCGGCGAGCGCGAGCGGGAGCGCGCGGCGACTCCTGGCTCGGGGCTCGGCTGTGCCGCGGGGCAGAGGATTAGAGTCGCAATTAGCTCCGCGCGCCCGCGCCTGCCGCGCTCGGCGACAAAAATGCGCCGTTTCCCTTCTTTTAGCCGGGCGAGCACCACCCGCCTCCCCCGGAGCCCGCGCCTTCCCGCCGGGGCCTCCGCCAGGACCCTCCCGGGAGCGGTGCGCCCAGGCCCCCGCGCCCTCCGCTGCCCAGCCCCCCGCCCCCCGCCGGCCAGCCACGCGGCGCCCAGGCCTCCTCCGGGCTCGGGAGGGGGCGGGGGAGAAGCTGATTTTAATCATTGTCATTTCATCTGATGTAATATTTCCCCGGGCGCTTTCAGCTGGGCATAAATTTTCGGCTCCCAAATAAGTAACACAGGGCACGTTTCTCACATTTCTTGACTCCTCGGTTACAAAGAGGAGAGCAGCCGCCGCCGCGGCGCCCGGGGGTAGGGGCGGGACTTGGGAAGAAAGTAGGCTGCGAGTCGGCCGGGGCAGGAGAGGAGCGGGGGGCCAGGGCCACCCCTCCCCCTCCCCGGCCGTCCTCCCTGGGTCCCGGCCCCGACTGCCCCTCTACCGGGGCGCCGCGCCACGCGTGACGTCTGCGGACGCGCGGTCTGCCACCGCCGGGGAGGGGAGCACGGGGGGCGCCCGGCCGGCCGCCCGCGGCCAGACGCGCCATTTCCTTTCCGCGCGCGGCGCGATGGAGACGTCTACCGCCAATACTCCTCGCGGCACCGAGGCCTGCGCTCCGGGAGTCCCCTCGGTCCCCGGGTCGGCTGCCCCTTCCTCCTTCTCTCCTACCTTCTCCTCCTCCCCTTCCTCTTTCTCCTGTTTCTCTTGCGCCCCGTCCGTACCCCCCCGACCACCTCCTCCTCCTCCTCCTGGACCATTTCCCGGCTCCTAGGAAACGGAGCGCGGAGCCTCCGGTGCAGTGCGCCCCGCCTGCACTGCGCCCCCGTCCGGCTCTCCCGGGACGCCCGGGCCAGAGCCAGGCTCGAGCTGGAGGACCGGTGCGCTTCGGCCCGGAGCGGCGCTGAGGCCCCCACCCCGAGCTCCAGCCGGATCTGGACGCCCTCTAGCGGCCTCACTCACTGGGGGAGCTCGGGGCGTCTCGGAACCCGGGCGGGGCCTGCCTGCGTTGACCAGGGGACCTCGCGCGTGGAAAGAGCCCTTGTAACTTCTCCACGCGGGAATATGCAGAAACTTCCCTCCAAGGGAAGGTTTTATTTATTTATTTTAGAGCTCGAACTACAGGAGAAGGGGGAAATTTTCTCATTAAAGTTACATCCCTGCAGTTAGTTCAATTACTTGATATATGCAGAAGATGTTGTAAATTTATAGATTTAAATAGCTTACAAAGATGCCGGAGGCCCCATCAGTTAATTTCCTTAATTTATGGATTTTTAGCTGCTCCTAGAACAGAAAGGGGCCGTGGAAGTAGGTCAGGGATCTGTGCAGCGGCTGCAGCGCGGCCCAGGGGCTGCCCACCCTGCTCCCCACGCCCTGGCGCCCCCCAGACTTTTGGCTCCCAGCTCGGGCCTGACAGTACCACTCTCGGCTCTCTATATCCGGGCCAGGCCCTGCAGGTCTGCTTTGCTCCCTGGTGACTGCCCTAGTCTCCAGGGCTGCTTAAGGCTAAGGAGCAGCAAAGCCCCCATCTACACCCTTCCCTACAGGCACTGAGGGTTGGACCCAAATAAGAAGTGAAGCAAGTATACAAATACTTGGACCTCCAGGGTCCTCACTTCAGTGCTGGCTCGCATCACAAATGGAGAAGGGCATGTGTAGATAAAACAAACCTTTTCAGTCTTTGAGTGCTTAGGGGGATGGAGGAGGCATGAGGAAGAATGTTTCAGGCTCCCTTTTCAGGAACACCTGGGTGCAGGCTCAGTCATGCCCCACTCATCGCAACCCTGTGGACTGTAGACCACCAGGCTCCTCTGTCCATGGGACTCTCCAGGCAAGAATACTGGAGTGAGTTGCCATTTCCTCCTCCAAGGGATGTTCCCCACCCAGGGGTCGAACCCCAGCCTCCTGCATCTCCTGCGTTGCTGGAGGATTCTTTACCGCTGAGCCATCCCAGAAGGCCCGTTGAAGAACACAGACCCACTGAAAAACCTGCTTGTCATGGGGCTGTCCCTGTGGCTCCCATCACCCCTCACCACTCTCCCCTCACCCCCAGGTGCCTGCTGGAGCCTCTTTGTTTTGTGTTCAATATGGATGAATATATACATATAAATTAATACTTAGAAGATGGGTATAAACTAAACTGTTTTAGGAAGCCACATGGCGGTGTGATTAGTATTGGTATTCATGATTTAACATTTCTTTTCCCACTAGATGAAGTTTCTAAGATTTGCAAGGTACATGTCAAGGACGGGTGTATAAATGGATTTTTATTTATTCACAACTCCAAGACTAATTGCTTCTCTTTGCCTCAAGGCCACAAGATTGGTTTTAATATGACACTTCAAAAGTATTCATGGAACTACAGAGATAGTAAGTGTCATTGTTTAAGAGACAAATCTCACTGTGGTACTGGTGACCCTGCAAAGAGGAGGTTCCATTTCATTTTAAATTCCTCGATGTTTTTTTAAGAGTTTCACTTTATACCAACTATATTAAAAATGCACAATTTAATCGAAATAAGAACTGACCATTTTGGAAGACCTTTCTTTCCTTAATATTGCTGGGAACTTTGTTTTCATATTCCTGAATCCTTTTATTAAAGAGCTGAACTTTATACGTGTCATTAAGAAGAGTAAGTTTGGGCCATAATTTATTCTCAAGTGTTTTAAAAGTTCCCGGCTAAATGTCAACCATCTTTTACATTGAGAGACTTGGACATGGGCTGTGATAGGCATTTAATGATCTGTGGTGTATAATGTAATGGTAAGGTTTTTTTTTTTAATTGAAGATGTATAATTAGAACTGAAAACATACTGAAACATCTTGTGAAATACATCTCGTTTCATTACTATAGTCCAAGAAATTGGATGTGAGTGATTGGATGAAATTGGATGTGAGTCTAATCAGAATGGAACTTGCTTTATCAGTAGATTTGACTAGCCCTTGAGCTCTTATGGTTTACATATTTTAAAAAGTGGGTTCAAACCTGAGCTTGCTTTGAGGTTGCTGTCCATGAGTTCACACAAAGCTGATGCAGGTCGGGCCCTGCATCTAGGTGCTGTGGATAAGACGGTCTCTGGACATTTCAAAGTGGTCTCCAGTGTAAGTTTGTATTTTGTTGCTGCTGTTTGCAGACTATATTCTAAGATGAAGACCTAAATAAGAAAACGAGGTCCCAGAGTCTGCTGAGCTCAACCTTTTCAGAAAATCCGTGACCAGATAGCAGATGAACAGGCTGTATGTAACACAGCTGCTGCTGTCTGAGAGGGGCAAGTGTGGGGTGAGGGGTATGGGGAGAAGCTGGGGTGTTGAGGCAAGGCTGTCTGCTTCCCCACCCCAGGCTCGCTGGGGTGAAAGCCAGACCCCTGTAGGTCTGTGCCCACCTCCAGGCTAGAATGGAGCCAGCCTGTCCCAGAGATCCCAGTGTGACATCTACTTGACCTCTGCCTCCACACCAGGAATCCCCCAGTCTTCTCTCTAGGACCCCAGTGAACCTGGAGAATAAAGGGGGTAGTGAAATGGGGGGTGGTTAGTGCTGCCCCCTGCAAACGGAGCTCCTGACCGTCAGCCAGTTGACCTGGTCCCTGGAGAGTTGCAGTGCGAACATGACTGAGAGATGGGAGGAATAAAACAGGACCACCCAGCTCTCGGGGTTCTGCCCAGTCCCCAACATCATGCTCTGAGGGACTTCTGCTGCTGATGGAGCGAAAGTAGAGCCTATCTGCAGGGGCTATCGACCATCTCCTCCTTCTTGCCTTCTGCCTGCAGCCTAGGTATGCTGCTCAAAGCCAAGCAAGCACCTGCCCTCCCCAGGAGCCAGCATCAGGGTGACAGTGAGACAAGACCAGGAATCCTACAACGGTGGCAGCTTGTGGATGACCTCTGGGGGATCAAAACCCCCCATTGATCAATATTCAGCGTCTGAACCTTCTTCCCAAGAGAAGTTTCACCATGTTTACCAGATTCTCAGAGTCTCTGTGAATTTGTGTGCAAGTAACAAAACCCTCTTGGAAGAAAAGTTATGACAAACCTAGACAGCAGATTAAAAAGCAGAGACATCACTTAGCTGACAAAGGTCCATCTAGTCAAAGCTATGGTTTTTCCAGTAGTCCATGTACTGGTGTGACAGTTGGACCATAAAGAAGACTGAGTGATGAAAAATTGATGCTTTCCAACTGTGGTGCTGGAGAAGACTCTTGAGAGTCCCTTGGACTGCAAGGAGGTCAATCAGTCCTAAAGGAAATCAACCCTGAATATTCATTGAAGGACTGATGCCGAACCTGAAGCTCCAGTATTTTGGCCACCTGATGCGAAGAGCCAACTCACTGGAAAAGACCCTGATGCTGGGAAAGATTGAGGGCAGGAGGAAAAGGGGGTGACAGAGGATGACATAGTTGGATGGCATCATTGACTCAGTGAACATGAGTTTAAGCAAACTCTAGGAGATGGTGAAGGACAGGGAAGCATGGCATGCTGCAGTCCATGAGATCGCAAAGAGCTGGACATGACTTAGTGGCTGAACAACAAAACCCTCACAATGGCTTCGTGATAAGGAAAGTAGATTTTTTTGTGTGTGTAATGGCCAGTGGAGGCAGAGTGGCCCTGGAGTCCATTCG